AAAACATATAATATAGATTTGTTTGTTTTGTATATGTATATATTAGAACAAAATATTCACCGTGATGAAGTAAATGAAATAAGGAATAATATGTTGAATAACAATATATTGTATTAGGTTGAAAATATTTTAGATGTTTTAATTTTCTCTATCTTTTCTAGGAGTAGTGATGTTCTATCCAAACTCTGATTTTGTCAAAACAATATTGTTTTCTTTTATTTTATTATTACATTTGCTTATTATAATTTTTTAAACATTAATTAAAATACTTATAAGATTTACGAAAAATGAAGCATATAAAGTCATGATTCATATTTAGTATTAAACTTTACAAGTAAGATGAAGAGACACGAGTTATAAATAATTTAAATGTATAATTTTATTAGCCACTAAATATATTACTAATTATGTATTGATTTTATTTGTAAAATAAAAAATTAAAAAAAAAAGGTGTGAAAATACAAAAAATGAACAGAGAAATATAATAATTGGTGATTACATAAAAATTATAAATGCATTTCAAAGCAAAAAGAACGACGACAGATTGTTACATACGCAAAAAATGACATCATGAAAATAATAATATATTTTTCAATTACTTTTTATAATTTATAATAAAAGTGAAACTAATCATCATAAATTTTGTTGTTGTTAAAATTAAATAATTATATTTATTTTTTTCATAACAAAGCCGAAAATAGAATAGTAAAGGATCAAATGATTAGCATTGACAATATAATACATTTAGCTAAATTATTTACATAAATTAAAATTTTAAAAACTCTAGCGAAAGTAACCAAGTTGCTAATAAATTTCAAAGTGAAAAAATAATCTCTCATTATGCTTCATTTTTTTTTCTTGTACCATCTTCCTTTGCAAAGAGATCCGCCGTCATGTTTTTATCCATATGTCAAACTCTTCATATATGCAACCAACTGAATAAAAAAAAAGCATATACGAATTAAAAATAATTATGTCAAAAGAAAGAACGAAATATAAACCATATTTAATATATTGATATATTATCTTTTCAATAGTAATAACAATAGTAAATAATAATTATTTCTTGAAATCTAACAAATATTATAATCAAACTATATTATATATGGAAAACTAACTATTAGAAAGAGTAATTGCATACGGACAAAACATTGTTAAGAATTAAAGAGATTTTTCAATCATACTTATTTGATAAATTAGGGATAATGCCCAAGTACCCCCTCAACCTATGCCCGAAATCTCAGAGACACACTTATACTATACTAAGGTCCTATTACCCCCCCCCCCTTGAACTTATATTAGTAATAATTTTTTACCCCTTTTTAGCTTACGTGGCACTATCTTATGGGCCCAATGATTGTTGACTTTTTTTTTCGAACTAGTGCCACGTATGCTGAAAAGGGGTAGAAAATTACATATAAAATAAGTTCAGGGGGGTAATAGGACCTTAGTATAGTATAAATGTGTCTCTGGGATTTCGGGCATAGGTTGAGGGGGTACTTGGATATTTTCCCGATAAATTATAATACAAACATAAAAATATATATTAAGAAAGCATGTCTAAGTACATAAAAATAAAAAGAAAGACTTAAGAATGAAATATACCTTACCTTCATATACCTTTTTTTTTGTTACATGTTAGTTAATTCACAAACAAGTATTATGAAGAAGAGAAATTATAACTTTGTATGTGAATCTTCATGAAAATAAATATGAATCTATATAGACAAAATAAAGGAAATGGAAAAATAAGGACTTAAGAATGATATATTTATTAACTTCATGTATTATTTTTTTTGTTACATGTTAATTTCCTTCACAAATCAAATACGAATTTATATAGACAAAAATAGAAAAGATAAAAAATAAAAATTTCAATGAAGTATTTCTTACCTTTATGTACTTTTTTTGGTTACAAATCAAACTTATATGATGAAAAAAGAAAGAATAATTGTGATGTGAATCTTCATGAAACTAATATAAATTTATAGGCAAAATAAAGGAATTCCATAAGACATATAAACTTATAAATTTAAATTGGAGGTTATGAATATAAAAATTATGAGAGTCATGAATATTATTAAAAGTAAAAATTAAAGAGGGGCAAGCCATGGGTAGTAACTCCTAGTGAATAAATTCAAAAATAAAAATAAAAATACTTAAAATGTAAAAAAAAAAAAAGAATTATGATTTCATGATTAGAAGTAAGATAAACAAATAGAAAAGAAATATAGAGAGTTTTTTTTATATTATAAATGTTCATACATTAATAAAGTATTTATTTGTATATTTGTATAAATGAAGTAATTTAGGTTTTATAATAAAATAATTAATTTAAATTAGAAAAGTTAAAAATAAATAAATTATGTTTCTCTTTTAATTATAAGTGAGATAAATAAATAAAAAATAGGAAGAGTTTTTGTTATAAATGACCCACCATTAATAAAATATTTATTTGTAATAAATTTAAATAATTTTTTATGATATATAATAATTATTTTTTTTAAAAAAAAAAAGATGGAAAAAGCTAAATGCAAATGGAGGCCATATAGAGGTGTCACATCACCTCCTCAATGGTCCTCATTTATATATATATATATTGATTGATTACAATTTGCCTTTAAAAAAGGTGAAGGTGATTTTTTTTATGATAAGAAAAATTTATAACCGCTATCCTTTATAAAAAGTGAAAATAATTAAGATCCACCTCATGATCCTTTGTAATTAAGAAAAAGAATCCTCACACCACATTTTTTGTTTCAGCAAGCAATGGTGTCAAAAAATTTTAATATTCTTTTTAAGAAGTTTTTTTTTTATAGCAGATGATAAAATTATGTAAGAAATTTTTTATTGATATTCACGTTAACTTCACATATATTTTCATCCATTAGTTTCTTGACAATATTTAATAGAAGAATGAAAATTGTTGACTTTCAAATATTTAGAGGAAGTTTTTATGCCCAAATAAGTATTTTGAGAATGTAGCTTATATTTGAAGTATAGTTTAAATATGTTTTTAGCCAAAAACTTATCTTTCATAAGTATTTAAAACTTAATTATATACAAAATTAATAATATAAGTAGTGTTTAAGTGAATGATAAAATGATTGTGTAATATTTTATGGATATTTTGATAATTTAATTTTTGAATGTAAGTCTTTTTATTTTTAGAATAGTATGATATGATATGATTAATATGAATAGTGTTTTTAAGTAAATGATAAAAATTATCGTTCAATACTTAATTTTGACTGTAATTTAATTTTTCAATTTTCTAATGTAAGGTTATTCGCTATATTATAAAAGTATATATGATTATGCAATATTTTTCAAAAATATATAAACTTATGTATATTATACGTATACTAAATTTAAATAAAGAAATTTATACCTTTAGACTTTATCGATTGTTTTATAAATTAGACCACTAAATTGTAATTTATTCCTAAGGTACATCTCACAGTCTACTAACATGTATATAATGAAGCTCTTTTTTTTTTTTAAAGAAAATGAATTAAAATATATTTGTTTTTGAACAATATTATTTGGCTACTGTCACTTACACTTGTTAATTTTAATATTATATTTGTTTTGATCGTTAATTAAATCCTATTATATTATATTGTTTAAATTTATTATAAGGTAGCGATGAAAAAATCTATTTTGTGTAACGATTAATTTAGTATGATCACGTTGTTATTTTAATATTTTCTTCTTATTTTATTGTTACATATTATTTAATAATATTATTTTGTCATTTATCCTACATTTTCATATATAGTAGCTCTATCCCATACCCTACAATTTCTTGTAGGTTTATCATTCAAATTAAAAAAATATATGACATCATGTAACGAAGAGAATGATGCAATATGTTCAAATATTTTAGTCACTATAACAATATAATGCAACACAATATAATATAATATAATATATTACTCCCTCTGTCCCTTTTTACTTGTCCACTTTTCAATTGACACACCTATTAAACAAATAATTAATGATGTAGCAAATTTACCATTTTACCCCTATTAATTACGAAATGAATGAAAAAATGTAGCAAAGTAGTTAGTCATTTAATTGAGGATATTATAGGTGAAAAATTATCCTTTCTTAATTTGTCAAAATGAATAAATAATTATGGATAATTACGTGAACAAGTAATTAGTAACGGAGGAAATATGAAATAGTACATAATAACTGTCCAAACAAAGTGTTAGTTGCAATAGGTATTAGTAGTATTAATTAATAGTTTCTTATTTATCTTTTTAATATATATATATATATATATATATATGTATATATATATATGTATGTATGTATATATATATAATTTAAAAATAAGGGAAAGAAAGAGAGGAATGAGAGCAGAGAAAACAGCTCCTTTTCTGTAAGAGCTTGTGTGTAGTTAAATTATTTTTTTAATACTATAAAGTTTGTTTATTAATTTTTTTATTTGTGCTTATTTTTTTTTAATTCTAGATATATCATAGTACAAAACTTAAATTTACTTGCCATCAAATAGTATACTACAATAAAAGATATTCCTCTTCCTTAAGAGATATTGAGAATTATTTAGGAAATATTTATTTTTTAAATTATGAATTTAAATAAGTCAAGCTAAAACCTTAAACTACATGTTAATATAAGAATTTTTTTATGACTCCCACGAAATAGGAAAAATATTTTAAAAATAAATATTGAAAGAAAACTGCGAAAAGAATGAATGAATTTTTGTTTAAATTTTTTTAATGTTTTTTTCATCAAAATTTTCTTTTTAGAGACACGTCATAATTTAAACATGATTTTTTAAAAATAAATAATATAAGTTATTCAACTGTAAATTGAAAAATTAAATGTGTAATTAATGAGAAATAGGTGAAAGTCCAACAAGTAAAATCTGTTTTTTTTTTTAATAAATGAAAATTAATTTTTTTTTTCAACCCAAAAAAAAAGAAAGTTAAAAAAAATTTAATTTTTAATTCTCAATAGTCCACCTTAGTTCTCTTCTCTCTCCTTTCATCTGTTGCACTTTTGTGTGTGTTGCTTCTGCACAATTTTTGGAGAAAAATTCAGATCAAACATTAGATTCTACAGCTTCACTTTTTCACCTGATCTTTTTCAAATCCCATTTTTTTCTCTCAATTTTATAAACCAGAAGGAAAAAAGCCTACAAAATCATTGAAATCAGTCAAAGTTTGGATTTTTTTAACTGAAAACTTTCATTTTCAGTCGTTTTCAAAGTTTCAGCTATCTGGGGGTGTTTTTTTTTCTATTTTTTGAAGACCCAGTTCAGTTCTTGATTATTCACTTCACACCCAAAAAGGATTTTAATAGTTTTTGAGCGAGTTGCAAAATTAAGAGCAACTGGTGCAAGTTGTGGGGGCTATCAAGAATTGTTTTTTCAGTTCTTTCTTGGGACATTTTTGGTGAATTTTTTATGAATAATTTTTGTTGAGGTGATTGAAATTGATTTTTTGTTGTAGATGAATGAATGGGAGGGGTTGGAGTTGAGAATGGTGTTTTTCGGTATTGGGGTGCAGAGATTCTAGGGCTAGTTTTGGAAGAACTGGTTTTTGTATATCAATTGCTGACAAAATGAATTCAGATGCTAACCGTGCTGGTGGACAAGTAGAAAGGGATATTGAGCAGGTAAATTGATGCATTTTTAACCATTACTTAGTAGATTGATGTCTGTTGAGCCATTATTGTTTTTTGTTTCGGTCATCGGTACTAGTGTTCTGTTGCTACTGATAAGTTGAGAGCAACCAGTTTGGGATAGAAGGGTAGTTGATTCAATTGAGTTTTGTATACTATAGTTTCAGATTGAGGAGTAGTTGATTGAATTGTATTTCATTATTGATCAGCTGGTCCCAGCTGGTTTTGGATTGAGGAGTCGTTGATTCAATTGGATTTAGTTATTGATAAGTGGCTCCAGCTAATTTGGAGAGGATGTGCAGTTGATTGATTTGTATTTCGTTATTGATAAGCTGACCCTAATTAGTTTGGAAGTGAGGGTAGTAGATTGTTTTTCGGTGTTGATAAGCTCTGGAAACTTGGGGAATTTCCTATTATTTTTAATATATATGACTACTTTTTGGTTTCGTTTTTTAGTGTTTAGAAGTAGCTTTACGCAATCTGTGGTGATAATTCGTTATCAGTTTCCTCTTTATGGGGTGTAAAGCAGATAACTGATAAAGAAAGCCTGTTTAACTGAGACAAAATCTGTAATGCTCATTTGATACCTAGAATAGGAACAGCAATTAAGGTAATAATACTCAGATAGCATGATTGATAAAAGAAAGCTTGTATAATTGCGACAGTAATTCTGTAATACTCATCTGATACATGGAAGAGGAATGACAATTAAAGTAATAATACTAGGATAGCATTTTTGACAAACAGTAAGAGTGATAAGTTGCTAGGAATGTTATTTTTTTTAAAAAAATAAATAAAAGAATTGCCAGGGATGTTTATTTTTCAATTTTTTTTTTGCTAGGAATGTTGTTTTTTTCAAAAAAAAATTAAATTGCTAGGAATGTGTTTCTGCTATTGATGTGCCAAGTAATTTAAAGGATTTATGTTGGATAGCAAGAGCAATCAAGTCTAATTAAGTATTTTCAGTTTAAGTTGCATGGACTCTTCACTTTCGGTTCTTGTTCCATTGTTTATTTGTTAGGTTTGAAATTTCTGGACTTCTGTAGTTTCATTTCAGCTTGTAATTACTTCTTATGATTTACATCAGGCCATAACTGCTTTAAAGAAGGGTGCATACTTGCTCAAGTATGGAAGAAGGGGGAAACCGAAGTTTTGTCCCTTTCGGTTGTCAAATGTAAGTATCAGTTCATCTTTCTAGAGCCTATGTAATTTATTTTGTAATTTTGTGTTCTTACCCTGATTTTTCTCTTCATCATCTGTGCATATTCTTATAAGATTTCTCTGTCATTTGTACTTATCGAAACAAAAAGAAGAAAAGATTTCTCTCATATTTGTTGAGTTTAGCATGAGGTTTAAGATGCTATGTACTTTTTCCTTTTTTTCCAGTTGTGTAGTTTAATATCTATGCTGATCTTTACTTTTGTCAATTAGGCTGCAAAACCTGATGTTTTTGAGAGTTGGAGTTTTTCTTCTAATTGTTTAATTTCTTTTTTGACGTGTAACTACTTTTTTCTATAATTTTTACGGCAAAAACAAAAACTTCTAGATTCTATCAAGCAGAAGCTAGTAGTCTATCAGGCTTTGTGGGAGAGGTGTTATATTAGCCTAATTATTGGAGTTATGGTGCTTGGCGTGGCCTTTTGTGAAATGCCCTAGTGGATAATCGGTTTCAGGAGCTCATATTATGTGTGGTATCGCTGATTTTTTTTTTTTGGATCAAGGGCAAGAGATGGGGTTGTCTTGTGTAAAAGTATAAGCAGTAAGAGAGAGAAATTTTTAATTCCATACAATGGGTTATCAGGCTACACATTTCTTGTTGTAATTTCCATCTACAATCTCCTTTTGATGAGCAGCTGCTCTGAAGTTTGTGGAATCTTCAGCTTTATGTCTTACTGTACATAGGTCAGCCAAAATGTGTGTTGCAGCCTATCTTTTTTTTTTTTTAGGATAGTAACACTAATCTATATATACACAGGTAGACTACATCCAAAGTATGGAGTCCCCTTCAAAAGGTATTACAGTCTAGTCATATTGCCGTCTATCACCTCTACTTCTTATAAATAATCTAAAACATCCCAGATATCTTCTGCTTGGACTAAAATGTTCTCTTTGCACCAAAAATAAAATAACACTAGACAATTCATCTTGAAGCTCTGAAGTCCATTCTGCTTGTCTTCAAAACACCTCTGATTTCTCTCTTCCCATACAGTCCACCATATGCATGCTGGGACAATCTTCCATCTCTCCTCCTTTGTTGCTGCATTACCATCACCATTCCAACTGTTAAGGACTCCTCTGATGCTCCCTGGCTTTACCCAATTTATTTTTCTCAAGCTGATGAACATCCTCCAAAGCTGTTCCGTCCATTTGCAGTGCAAGAAGAGATGGCTAATTGTCTCACTTGTTCCCCACATAAGAAACATCTTGAACATAGTTGAAATTTCCTTTTGTTCAAACATATGCACCTAAAGTAGTTCTTTATTCAGGTTTGCTGATTTTTTCACAATAAAAAGAGAATTGACCATTTTGAGAGCTGTACTTCTTACTGTTTAACCGCAGGGTGTAGTTCAACATCATTGAATGCATTTTTTCTTTGTTTCCTTGTTGTCCCATAGTTATGGTTTAGCGCTTTATTCTGTCTGTTTCTTTGTCTGTTAGCTATCAGAAAAAAAGTTAGTGTGAAGTCTGGACTACTTTGTGTCCTTTGATATGCTAATTGAGAATCAATGCAGTCTATAATTTTACTCTGATTCTGGTTGCAGGATGAGTCTGCTTTAATATGGTTTTCAGGTAAAGAGGAGAAACACCTGAAGCTAAGTCATGTGTCAAGAATAATATCTGGGCAGCGCACTGTAAGTTCTCCCCATGACGAAAGGCCTATTTCTGTCATGCAACTTTTTTCTATTGGTATCTCCATCATTCGAATGAATCCATCTGTATCTATATCTTTGTGTGGTATAGGTACAGAGGTGAGAGAATGTTTCAGCATTCCGATCTCAAACCTGTCAGTAGAAAACAGATATGTAGTTCACTTTTTTAGATGGTAGTGCTACCTTTTCTTGGGACTTAAAGGCTTCTATTTAGGCAAATAAACCTTAGGTTTTTCTGTTATCCTGGTGCAAGCATCCTGTTTCCTTTCCATTAGTGATCCTAAAGAAAAGAAGGTAGGAGTTACTGCCATCCTGGTTTAGGCTTGTATAGTTAGCTTTAATAGGGGGGGGGGGGTTCAACTAGAAGGGGAACTTGAGGTGATATCTGATAAAGTCACGGAGAACTTGAGTATTGGTCGTGAATAGTTGTGAACTTGCTTTGGTTTTGTGCTAGGTGGGCTAGTCTCATCAAATGGTATTTATCTCTTCTATTCGATGCGATAATATAATTTTTGTATAAACAATAAACTAGTGAGTAGATGAAAGATGAAGTAGTATTAGATGGATAGAATGAATAGGACCAAGGTACAAACACTGCAAAAGGAAGGTTGTCCACAAGTCTTAATTGGTTTGATTAGTTGTTCTGTATGACTCTTTCAGTCTTTGTCTTTCTTGCCTTCTCACCGCACATATACACACACATATCTTGCTATAACTGTCAGGCATAACTAGGCAAAAATCTTGTTAGTAGGTTTTCACAGATCTGAATAATTGCTGCTGTTCTATTTCCAGCCAATTTTTCAAAGGTACCCACGACCTGAGAAAGAGTATCAGTCATTTTCACTTATATACAATGATAGATCGCTGGATTTGGTAAGAGTTTTATTATTAACTACTGTGTCTTTCCTTTAAAGAAAAAATTATTGTGATTCTTTGCTCTCTATTATTCCATTTTTGAGAAATTGGTCCATGCACCAAAATCATCCCACCTTTATCATTCTTTCCCTCTTCTTAGATATGTAAAGATAAAGATGAAGCAGAGGTCTGGTTTAGTGGTTTGAAGGCCTTAATATCTCGTGGGCACCAGAGAAAATGGAGAACAGAATCAAGGAGCGATGGAATTTCTTCCGGTGCTACTAGTCCTAGAACTTATACACGAAGAAGCTCTCCTCTGCATTCTCCATTTAGTAGTGGTGACAGCTTGCAGAAGGTACTATAGCATCCACATGTCTACTCATGCATATTAAATATCTCCTTTAATTTATTCATTTTGATAGAGTAAAAATATTTTGGTTCTATTTGTCTCTTTGGGATGTTGAATGATGAGATTGTACATGTCCTTCAGGATGGCGGTGATCAGCTTCGCCTTCATAGTCCATATGAAAGTCCTCCAAAAAACGGGCTAGATAAGGCATTTGCTGATGTAATTATGTATGCTGTACCTCCTAAGGGTTTTTTCCCTTCAGATTCTGCTAGCGCTTCTGTTCATTCCATATCTTCTGGAGGTTCAGATAGCATGCATGGTCAGATGAAGGGAATAGGAATGGATAATTTTAGAGTAAGCCTTTCAAGTGCAGTTAGCTCATCAAGTCAAGGTTCTGGTCATGATGATGGTGATGCCTTGGGGGATGTTTTTATCTGGGGGGAAGGCACTGGGGATGGTGTCCTAGGTGGTGGACCTCATAGAGTTAGCAGTTCTTTTGGTGCCAAATTAGATTCTTTGTTTCCTAAAGCTTTAGAGTCTGCAGTGGTATTGGATGTTCAAAATATAGCTTGTGGTGGTCGACATGCAGCACTGGTGACAAAGCAGGGTGAGATTTTCTCCTGGGGTGAGGAATCGGGAGGTAGGCTAGGGCATGGTATTGATTCTGATGTTCTGCATCCAAAGCTTATAGATTCACTCAGCCATTCAAACATTGAGCTTGTTGCATGTGGTGAAAATCATACTTGTGCTGTAACACTCTCTGGAGACTTGTACACATGGGGTGATGGTGATTTTGGTCTTCTTGGGCATGGAAATGAAGTTAGTCATTGGGTCCCCAAAAGAGTAAATGGACCCTTAGAGGGCATACACGTTTCATATATCTCGTGTGGTCCCTGGCATACTGCTGTGGTGACATCTGCTGGTCAACTATTTACTTTTGGCGATGGTACTTTTGGTGTTCTTGGACATGGAGACAGAAAAAGTGTCTCTAAACCTAGGGAAGTGGAGTCTTTAAAGGGGCTTCGAACTGTACGAGCAGCTTGTGGGGTTTGGCATACTGCAGCGGTCGTTGAAGTCATGGTGGGAAGCTCAAGTTCAAGTAATTGTTCATCAGGAAAACTTTTTACTTGGGGAGATGGTGATAAAGGTAGACTAGGGCATGGTGACAAGGAGTCGAAACTTGTACCTACCTGTGTTGCAGCTCTTGTCGAACCAAACTTTTGCCAAGTTGCTTGTGGACACAGCTTGACAGTTGCATTGACGACTTCTGGTCATTTGTATACAATGGGAAGTCCTGTGTATGGCCAATTAGGTCATCACCAAGCTGATGGGAAGTTACCCCGTCGTGTTGAAGGCAAGCTGGCAAAGAGTTTTGTGGAGGAGATCGCCTGTGGAGCATATCATGTTGCTGTCTTGACTTCCCGAACTGAAGTTTACACATGGGGAAAGGGGGCAAATGGTAGATTGGGTCATGGTGATATGGATGACCGAAATTCTCCCACTTTAGTGGAAGCTTTAAAAGACAAGCAAGTCAAAAGTATTGCTTGTGGCACTAATTTTACTGCTGCTATTTGCCTTCACAAATGGGTATCTGGGGTTGACCAATCCATGTGTTCTGGCTGTCGTCTTCCTTTTAACTTTAAAAGAAAACGCCACAACTGTTATAACTGTGGGCTTGTCTTTTGTCATTCATGTAGCAGCAGAAAATCACTGAGGGCATCAATGGCACCTAATCCCAATAAACCCTATCGTGTCTGTGACAACTGCTTCAGTAAATTGAAAAAAGCTATGGAAACAGATGCTTCTTCTCAGTCTTCTATGAGTCGACGAGGAAGCATGAATCAGTCACTAACTGATATAACAGACAAGGATACTAAGTTGGATACAAGGTCTCGACCTCAACTTGCTAGATTTTCTACAATGGAATCCTTCAAACATGTTGAAACCCGTTCTTCCAAACAGAAGAAAAAACTTGAATTCAACAGCAGTCGCGTGTCACCTATTCCAAATGGTACCTCTCAGTGGGGAGCTCTCAACATTTCCAAGTCTTTTAACCCTGTATTTGGCTCGTCCAAGAAATTCTTTTCAGCTTCAGTTCCTGGATCAAGAATTGTTTCTCGAGCAACATCACCAATATCTAGACGGGCCAGTCCACCTCGTTCTACTACACCAACTCCAACATTGGGTGGACTTACATCTCCAAAGATTGTTTTGGGCGATGCTAAAAGGACAAATGATGGCCTTAGCCAAGAGGTTATCAAATTAAGAGCACAGGTATGTCATTTGTCTAATGAACTGTTCTCGACTTCTGATGAATTTTCCTCTCTTTGCTTCAACACCATATCCTTTTTGCTTATGTGAATTAGAAAATAAAGATTTTAGTTTCTCTATGAATCTAAGTGTTTTTGGACATTCTCTATAATGTAGTTATTTAGAATGTCAAACATTGGACTTGGGGCAAGAAATCCTCTAGAATTTCTAGGGAACACCATATTCATGGAGTCAGAGTTCACTGGGGCTTGAGTAAACTTGTCAAATAGTGTTTTGGTACTTGTGGTCAAGGGTGAATGGTTATGCATAATCATTTTTAATAATGGTGAAAAACTTCATCCAAGTTCATAAGTATTACTTTGAAAGGATAACCCGTGATAGTATGATTAAATGGAGAAAATCAAATTACTTTTTGAGAGCTAAAATCAGTGAGTTATCTATTTCTAATTCTGAGTTTTAATAATTTCTTGAGCCTCCAGGTCACTGCTATCTTCTGTTAGGTACTATCTTGTGGAATGATATGCTTGTTGCTGCTTTGTACTCTTCAATGAATCTGACATGCTAAAATCATAACCTAAAGGACAATCAACTGATTGTAATCAGCCAAGAGATCAAAAGAAAGTTTTGCTTGCAAGAGTGCATGACTGGAAGTTGGAGCCGTTTACTCCTATAATGACTATGCTAGTCTCTACTTCGTTGTAGATTGTGGTGGATTGACTTTTAGAAGTTTTACACCTGCATAGAAGTAGTATCTACATTTGGACCTGAAAATTAAGTGACTGTCAAAGCTTGTCTTCTCTGTAACAGCATTGAGCTAAGATTATCCTTAGGCATCTGTCATCCTATCATTTTCCAAAAATGTCTAGGAGGGCATCTCTGTAGCATCCTTACCCAACTCTAGGTCTCTTGGTTCTTTTATGTCTAGTGTCCAGATATATTTGCACAGATTAACTGGGCATAAAGAGTAAAGTTTTCATAGAAAATACATTGTAGGACTCGTGATTGTAGTCCGTGGGGAGAAAAAGAGAGAAAAACGTATTTCAAATCCTTGTATTTGGCAAGTAGCTTTATTTGGTAAATGCAAACTATGGTTAAGATGGTTGAATTTCATTCTCTCTTAGCTATACACAGTTAGTATAAAGCCAATCAGTTTCTAGCTTGTATCGAAATGTGTCATTCATTTAACTTATTTTCCAGACCCCCTTGTAGGGTTACACTTATGTTGTTGTATTCATTTTACTTATTTTAAAGAAAATATTTCTTGAACCAATAATAATTTAACTAAAAGAAAGCTGGTAATAGAAAAAATTGAACTAAGAAGAAATAAAAGAAAGTGTATCCCGTTCCTGTATGTATTAAAACAAAAAGAAGTAAAATAAAAAGAACATGTATCTCTCCTATTCTAAAATGGAAAGAGGTACAATATCTTGCATCAAGATCTTAAGATGATTACTCAAATACATCATTTACAACGTCAAAGAGATGCATTTTGGTCTTACTAGTCTTTATTTACGTGCATTGCACGGTTATCCCATATGATAATTAGCACAAATTATTATAAAGATCTAGAATAACAAGGAACTGTATATTTTTGTCACGACCCAAAGTACCCCCAGGGTGTATATGGCGAATAGAACCCCGAGAGGCCCTAGACAAGTCACTTGACATAAGGATGACGTAATAGAAATACAAAAAGAGAGAATAGGCAATAAAAATCTCATATCATATAAGGAATCTATACACAAGTGTGAAATCTAAACTGTGTCTGACATAGCCTTTCTAAACACCATAAGAGTGGTTGGACGTAACCTATACACCATGTACAAGTCTGAAAAGAAAAGACAATAAAAGAAATAAAGCATCAATTGTTTTGTCCTCGAAGCATGAGGACTCACCACTCCAAGGTACTAGCAAAGCAATTCAAGCTAACCATGAGCGGGAGGAGTGTGGGGCCCTATATTATAAGACAATATATGCACAATATGCATTAGTGCGGTGAATGTACTAAGTATGGGGAAATGCATAAAACGTAAAGCATGATAGTGTGATGAACTTAAACATGATATGCTAGACCAAATAAAATGTGATAAAAGCCTTTATAAAGTAATCATAAATCATACACAAGGTCAATGCATGCTTAAAAGTTAAAACCATTTGAGAAATTTCCATAAAACCTTCGATAGAAACATAGTTAATTGTGGGATATAACATGAAATCTGACATGGCCCTTTTATCGAAAAGGAGAATCTACTTGTCAAGGTCGAACTCTATCTCATTCATTCTTTGCTTAACAGCTTAAGTGGATCAACTAGCTTAGGTCATCTAAGACAGCACGTAGTTTAGGGACAAGGAGATTTCTTCTAGAGAACCGACATTTACTAACGGGAGAGCTTCCATCTCAAAGTCCTCTTGGTGCTAACTGAATCCTAACGGAAAAGACATAATCATAATCATATTATAATACTTGGAAAGACACAATTAGGACTACCAATCCAATCATAAGTTCATATTAGAGTAACTCCTTTCAAATCATGATATCGTAAAACTTTCACAGTAGACACTTACCTTTCTAGACATTTATTTCATTCTATTGTGAGAAATCATTGACACTTTACCCTAAAAGCACCCTTTGATCATAATCATTCTTTTCTTAAAAATGCATAGATTCATAAATCATAATTAATAGTTCCTAAGCATAATTCATATTCATAAAATAGGCATAAGCATGGGTTCAAAGGAAATCAATTTAAAACCTTGTAATTGTATCAAAACATATGTAATAAGATTGAATATCAATAATTGAATCATAATAAATAGAACCCATGGAGATTTGCATGAAACTCTTAGAGAATCGAGTGAATCCCACATACCTTGATAATCAAAACCCTAAGAGTGCGATGAGGATGAGACCTTGACGCTTGAAACCCTAGCTCCTCACCTTGGAGCTTAAGAGATAATTTTGGAGAAGAAGACTTGAGAGAATTTAGGAGATTTTGAGTGAATGAAAGAAATTAGGCTAAGTCTTCAGGGTAAAAATGGTTATAGGATAGTTATATGGACAAAATGACGTAGTTTAGGGGTTAATTGGATAGGAAAAGACCAAACACCCTTAATTAAAAACTCCCTGAAGACCCTACGACTTCGACCTATGGTCTGTGGAAGTCTGATCGGTTGTAGAATAAACAACTGGGACTCGAAATTTCTGATCAATTCCACGAGACCTACCTACGGCTCGTCCAACATTCTATGGCTCGTAGAATCCAAGTTCAAGTCTAGAATTTCACCAAGTCTCGATCACTTCTACTGACCCCACCTACGATCCGTAGACCACATTACGACTCGTCAAATCCTTTCGTAGACCTGAGGTCTCAGATCAATTCTTTGAATCACCCTACCGGCACTTTCTACTGCCCGTAATCTGCCTATGATCCATCTTGTTCTTTCATAGGTCAATTTACTAGGTTTAAAAATTTTCCAAATCTCAAACCAAGACCTACGACTTCTTTCCTACGACCCGTAGACTGCCTTACGATCTGTCCTATTCTTTCATAGGTCAATTTACTGGGAGTTAACATTTTTTCATATCTCAAACCAAGACATGTGACTTCTTTCCTACGGCCCGTAGGTCTTCATACGGTCCGTAGGTCAGACTCGTAGATCACCGCATCAATGCCAAAATGAATTTTTCCCTTCCAAACTCAAATTTCCATTTCCGAGGTGTTGCAATTTTGAAATGTTTCTCGTTTACAATGTGAACTTGAGAAATTAGAAAATAAAATTTTGAAAAGTTTGATACAAGTGTATAGCCTTTATTTTGTCACCATACTAGGAAATAGTGAAGTTTTTATTTATTAAAATTTTTTAACATTCATTTTCTTGTTTTTTATTTTTTAAATTTGTTGAAGGATCTGTGTACCAACTGAAGTTTAGGTTTGCTTTAGAAGGAAATTACTTGCGTTAATTTTAATTTAAAATTTTACCTTACTTTTAGGTTAATTCAATTTAAGTTTCTTTCTTTCACTTTATTTAATTGTTTATTTTACTTTCTCGAAGAAAGAATGGCAATAAGATCTCTACAGAGAGCAAATGTGGGGTCTTTGGGTCAACATCATGTAACCACAAAACTAATTTCAACTTTTATTTGGACGAAAGAACAAGAAAAGGAACTCCAGGAAAGAGAAACTAGGGTCTCTAGGCCAACACCATGTAACAATTGAATTAATTTGGCACCAGAACTCAACTAGACCTTGGAAAACTTGTGCTAAGCATGCTTATAAAAAAATTGTCAAGCATGATGAAAGGGTTGTGATGTCTCAATAATTAATTTGTCATTAGAACTAAATTTGACCTTCAAAAATATCGTGCTTAGGATGATAATGGACTCACAATGTCTAAAGCGTGAAGTTTTTGTTTAACTTGTTAGAAAAGTCAAATAATGAACACAAGGAAATAATGAAGTTTCTACAAATGAATTCTATGAGCAAGTTCATCCAACATGGAATGCACTTACAAAGGGTAAAAGTGTCTATCAACATTTCGTGTAGAGCTTCCTTTTGTACAATAGTACTAGTCATAGCATACACACCTTGCTCGTGTCCCTTATTTTAATTCTGTGTGCTATCAGGGTCAAACTCATCCCAATTTACAACTATCCATGTTGGGGCCCCTATGTTAAAAGTGTGTGTGATCCACGCACCAGATGACTAGTTTTGGGCGTGAGGTGTTAAGTCCCACATCGGCGGGGTGAGGAAAAGTTGAACTCCTTATATGGAGTTGGGCAATCCTCACCTCATGAGCTAGCTTTTGGGGTTGAGTTAGGCCAAGATACATTTCTTTACTAGTATAATTTTATCCAACGTGTAATTATTTTTCAAAGGTAAAATCTTAATCGCTTTTAAATTTCTAAATACTAAAATTTTCTATATATTTCAAATAAGGAGGAATTTAATACATAAAATTGAGTTGAATCTTATACATTAGAAAAATAATTATATGACTATTTTGTCAAGTGTGAACTCCATTTTAAAAAGGTAATAAGGTGAATGACATTTTGCTACGAGTTTCTAACTTAGTTTTAAAACTTTTCATTTTACCTCCAATGAGATGATTTCAGCTCAAAAAAAAAATATTTCTCTTAATATATGTGTCTAGTTAAATGCCTTCACATAAATTGAAACAGAAGAAATATCGTGGACTTAGTTAAAGAGCGTGAATAGAATACTTCGATTAATTGAAACAACTGAAAGTATGTAGTACTTAAATATTTTCTTTTCCGTTTTCGATTATACAAGCTTAAGAGGAGGAGGAGGAATTCAATATATTAATGCAAAATGAAGTTACACTCTTTAATTTTTTCCTCGTATTGTGTGTTGAAAAATTGTGATAGATAATTAGTTAGTTTAGTAAAGAAAGGAATGCTTTAAATTTACAAAGTTGTAATTGATTTTAAAGTCTTGAATGGAGTCTGCTAGAGAATATTATATATCAAGTGGAGTCGGCTAGAAATTAGAATATCTTCTATATACATTTTGTTCTATTCAGGTATATTACATTCCAACACGGTGGAATGTGTCTTTTTAGGAAAATCAGCAGTGTTCTCTTCTAGCACACTTTTAACCCGACATACATTTTAGTTTTATACCTACTAGTTAGTATCACTTATATGTATCCTCTTTCTCCATTTTATGATGTTTGGAACTAGAACACATTTATTCTGAAAGAATTTAGGTCTTCTGGGAGAACCTTTTTTGGCATGATTTTAGGTCTACTTTTCTCCATTATGTGACTTTCAATCATCCAATTATCACTCCTAGAAACAGTGGCGGATCCAGGAGTTTAAGTTTGTGGATTCTCCAAGAAGAGTTGGTCTTTAAAAATTTTAAAAAAAACACCATAGTGAGAATCGAACCTGGCCACAGGAGATGCAATGTACAACTTTGAACACCCCACAAACGACCACTACACCAAGCAACTACTTGTTGCCTGGGTGCTCACTGTTTAATTTTATACCATTCGTTCAAATTTCTATATAAGTATATATATTTAGATATGAGATTAATCGAGCAACCGGAACCTTCAGTGTGGGTCCGCCCCTGCCTAGAAACCAGTACATCAGGAAGCTTACGTAGGACAATGACCAAAACTTTTCTGGACCTTTATTTGCATTGTGTCATTCAATTGCGCTACTTATCCCCTCGATCAGATATGGTCATTGTAATCTTGTCCATATTCATCGTATTATCTTGCATTTTTATGACATTCATCCATATTGGGCTTTAAGCCTAAATTTTTACTCCTTTGTAATGCCTTGGTCTGTCAACCATCCTGTAAAATTTATTTCTATCTTTTTATCATAGCATTTTAGTAATCACTTCCTGTTTCCGGCGCCTTTTTTAGCTCCATTCTCATGGAAGTCTGAATCTAGCATCTAAACTGTCTGTATTTATGCATCACTATTTTGTTGTAATTGATTTGTGAGACTCAAATGAATGTACTATTAATTTCATGGAAAAAGCATTGTGTTTAATGATCTTCATCATAGGTGGAAAATCTCACGCGCAAGGCTCAACTTCAGGAGATAGAACTGGAAAGAACTAATAAGCAGCTAAAGGAGGCAATAGCCATTGCTGGAGAAGAGACTGCCAAATGCAAAGCAGCAAAAGAAGTGATCAAGTCACTTACTTCTCAGGTATGCTGCTTCAAATCTTTGGTAGAGAATTGCTTAAATTTATAATGAAAGACATGTCTATCTTAGAAATGAGTATCTTAGAGCAAATCGATTCGGTTTTGACTTAATGAAATGCTCCTTATCAAAAACTTAAATGAGATGCTGCAACTATTACTACAAATAAGAATGCTTTCTACTTAAACTTTTAAAAGTGGATTGAGAAAATATATCTTTCATTTACTCTTATAAATTCCAACTGCTTACTTGTTAAGTTATTCTTTCAAGTAGTATGGTATAACATAGATACATGTATGGATGGGCCTATGATTTTTATACAGTCGTTTAATGTATAAAAAATTAATTTCTGTCCAACTAAGAATGTGGTTCTCATTATTCAGAAGATTTCTCTGTTTTGGTCAACATGAGAGTTTGTAGTCATTTCATTCATTAACAAATTAATTTCTGTCCAACTAAGTCTGTTTTTCTCGTTATTCAAAATATATATATTTTTTGGTAGATATGAGAGTTTGTATTTTCTTTTGTCATTGTGAATTCTCAGTTGTGCTAAAAAAAACCTTAACAATGCAAATTTTTCTTTTGTCTTTGTGTTATTAGTTTTTCTTCATATAATTGTCGAACATCTGCATTTTTCCTTACTGTTTGGGACAAGCAAATTCTTTATTCTGACAATGTGTATAAGCTGGAATAGTCCAAGATGAACAAAAACTTTTTTTACTTTTTATTATTATCTGAAAACAAAGTTTTTGTTCATCTTGGAGCACTCCATGCAAGATGACAATTAATTGACTCTACAGCCTTTCACACAAAAAACACCTACTGCATATTGAAAAGCCACTTTCCTGCAGAATTTTTTGAGTTTAGCAGGCATTTCTTGCAGCCACAAACCAAAACAAGCTACTTTTGTTGGTGCTTTTGTTTTCCATAGCATTTTCCATGGCAATGTGTTAGGACCTCAAAAGTGGTTTTTGGCATTGTCCAATTTACCCCAAGTATCACCTCTCCCGTTTGCTTCTTTAGCCTACCTCTATTTCTTCGAGACTCCCCATAGTCAACCTCTCATACCTTCTCACATAGGCATCTGTGGATCTTTTCTTCACATGCCCGAACTGTCTTAGTCTTGCCTTCCTCATTTTGTCCACGAAGGTCACACCTATCTTGTCTCGGATGTCTTCGTTCCTAATTCTATCTCTCTTAGTATGCCCACACATCCATCGCAACATCCTCATTTTTGCTACTTTCATCTTCTAGATATGTGAATTCTTGATCGGCCAAATACTAAACCCCATACAACACAATTGATCTGACAACCGTTTTATAAAAGTTACCTTTTAAGTCTTAGCGGCACATACAATACAATTTATCTGACAACTGCTTTATAAAAGTTACCTTTTAAGTCTTAGCTGCACATTCTTATCACACAAGACACTAAAAGTAAGCATCCATTTCATTCGCGCCGCTCCAATACAATGTGTAACATCATCGTCAATTTCCTCATTACCTAGCATATTTGACCCCAACTACCTGGAACTATTTCTCTTGGAGATGACTTGTGTATCAATTCGCAGTTCCACATCTACCTTATAAGTTACTGCACTGAACTTGCACTCTGAGTACTTTGTCTCAGTCCTCCTCAACTTGAATCCTTTAGACTCGAGGATTTGTCTCCAAACCTCCTGCCTACCATTAGCCTTCAGCTGTAATAATTGACTGTTTTTTAAAAAAAATCCCAACAACGTACCAGTGTGATCCCACAAATGGGTCTGGGGAGGTAGAATGTACGCAAACTTTAGCCCTGCCTTTGTGAGGTAGAAATGTTGTTTCTAATTGACCCTTGTCTCAAAATAGAAGTACTTGATGCAGGATTATAATAACAATAAGACAATAAATAGCAAGATACAAAACAAGTGCAACAACGGATAGTAATGCACATTGAAGAATAGGAAACTAGGCGATAAACTAAATAATACTACTTAAAATGGAGAAGAAGAGAGGAGACTATCCCCCCCTTCTCTCCCACACAGAGTGTCACATCACTCAGCTACCTTCTACCCTAATCCCCAACTTCCATACCTCCAATCTAAGGTCCTGTCTAAGTCAACTTAATTTTTGTTCTGTCCTATCTAATCACCTTTCCAGTTCTTTTTGGCCTTACCTTTACCTCTCCTAACTCCTACTACAGCCAACCTCCCACACCTTACTGACACATCCTCACACCTCATGTTCACATGTACGAACCATCACAATTTTGTTTCCACCATCTTGTCCGCCACTGATACCACTCTCACTTTTTCCCATACTTCATTCCTAATCATGTATCTATGAGTATGCCCACACATTACACATGTATCTGAGCGTCCTTATCTCATCTACATTGATCTTCTGAATGTGTTCTTACTTGGCCAACATTTTACCCTATTCAACAATTTTGGTCTATCCACCATTTTGTAAACTTACCATTAAGCCTTGGCGATGCATTTCTATCTTAGAGGCAAGCCTCCATTTCACCTACCTCAGTCCAATACGATGCGTGACATCATCATCATCTATCCTTATGCTTGGATAATGGACGCAAGATACTTAAAGCTTCCTGTCTTGGGTATGACTAGTGCCTCAATCTTCACTTTGACCTCTACTCATACATTAAGACACTAAACTTGCACTCCAAGTACTTTGTTTTAGTCGTGCTTAAGCTGAAACTTTTCGATTCTAGGGCTTTTCCCTAACCTTCCATTCTGTCATTAACTCCACCGCGCATCTCGTCTATTACTGTGTCATATGCGAATAACACACACCAGGATGACTCCCGGTGAATATGCCATCTCAATTCGTCTATCATTAAGGCATTTAGAAATGGGCTAATGACTAATCCCGGGTGCAACCCCATCACGATCAGAAAGTGTTCCAAGTCACATCCCTTATCCTAACTCGGGCCTTGGCTCCATCCAACATTTCCTTACTACCCTTAAAGTAAGCCACAACTACACTTATGAATACCAGACATCTCCAAAGGATTTCCCTTGGGACTTCATCTTATGTCTTTTCTAGGTCAATGAACACCATGTGTATGTCTCCTTTCTTGTCCTTATACTCCTCCAACAATCTCCTTACAAGATGAATGGCTTCTGTAGTCAATTGCCCCGGCATGAATCCGAATTCGTTCTCAGAGATAAATACATCCTTCCTCATCCCCATCTCGACCATCCTCTCCCAGACTTTCATAGCATGACTTAGTAGCTTGATACCCCTATAGTGATTGCAATCTGAATATCACCATTGTTCTTGTACAATGGAACCATTGTAATCCACCTCCATTCCTCTGACGTTCTTGCTGTCCTAAATATGACATCAAACAACCTAGTCAGACACTCCATACCTGCTTCACCTGCGTTCTTCCAAAAATCCACAAGTATGGAGTGGCTGACTAGCTTGATGATGTCATATTTAGGATGGCTACAATGCCAAATGAATGGAGGTGTTGTATTGTACAAGAAGGGTGATATTCAGAATTGAAGCTTCTGTCCTAGTTCAAATTGTAAAAATCAGCCACCTAACAACTCATCTGGTGTGATTCTTAAAAGAACAGGGAATTTATCCTTGAGTTTTCCGTTTTCCTGCGAAATTTCCTTCCTGAATGTTATCTTGCTACCTTCTCCCACCTCCACTCTGATGCTCCACCCCCAAACTTGCAAATGTTCTTCCAGATTGCACCCTGATTTGACTGAAGAACAGTTTTTGGTTTCCAGAAATCGTCTCTACAATGATTTATGGCAATGACATCTTTTTATACCTCTATTTTGTGTTCATTATACCTCCATAATCATTTATATAGCGAACTCTTATTATGTTGTCTGGGTATTTTGAGTCCCATTCTACCTCCCTTTTTGGCCAAAGTCCAAACATTACATCATTCCATTTTACCAAATGCATTCTCTTTCAGAATTTCCTTTCCATGGAGACCTATTTCTCACCCTGTTGATCCGCCTTTCAAAATAGCTGGGATAGGCAATAAGGACATTTAAGTATGTTGGAATCCCATTAAGCGCTATTGACCAACCTTCCATTAATAGACTGGTGTTTATTTCTTCCGATGTGTGTGGTAGGAGACATGCAGCTATGCATCCCAATATCTCTGCCATCTTCTATTACATCTTCTGAGTTCACAGCAAATGGTTTCTCTTCTACATCTTAAATGACTTTTTTAATCTTACGGTGTTTCTCAAAATTTGCATCTTCGGAGTCTTTTTTGTTATAACAAAGTAACTGCATGTGTTTTTGGTTCAATAACCCTATTTGAGAACAATCTACTTCATTTATTTCAAATAGAATATCATTTGTTTCTCTCCCGAAATAAATTGACATTTTTATAACACCAATGTCTAGCTTCATGAAATCCGAGTTCCAAAATGTTTTGTATACCTGCAAAAGTTAAGTGGACCAAAATTTTATGATTACAAATTTTACTTTTACTGTTAGGAGCTAACCTTTTAAGTTCATATAGAATGTAGCTCGAGTTTAAAGTATGAAGTTACTCGGTCAGGAAAACAATAGCGGGAAAAAGAGAGTTTTTCTATGATTTGCTTGTTTATGTTTTGGATTCGTAAGCAATCTTACCAGTTTAAAAAAAAAAGGACTCGTGAGCTTTTCATATTTAAACTTGTTTTCCATAGTGGTCAGGTTATGTGCCATTGTTCGTCAGTATCCTTTTAGTGTAGTTTTTTTGCTGCCCCTTTTTTGATGAATATATAGCTGCTTTGTGAAGTATTGAACACACAATTTTCTGTTGACCTGTCTTTCATTAGCTTCTCTTGCTGATAGTTTGTTTTGTTGTATTTATTTTTCATAGCTGAAGGAAATGGCTGAGAGGTTGCCGGTAGGTGCTTCCCGGAACATCAAATCTCCTACATCTCTTTCCTCGGGTTCCAATCTCACTGCCAGTGACATACCAAATGGATGTGTTGACCGAGTTCATAGTCAACTAACTTTCCAAGATGTGGAGCCAAATGTATCTAACAGTCAACTACTTTCTAACGGATCAAGCAACGTCAGTAATCACAATGCTGTTCAAAACAGGCAAGGGTTTCCAGAACCAACGACAAGAAACGGAGGTAGAACAAAAGAAGGTGATTCTCGTAATGAGAACGAATGGGTTGAACAAGATGAGCCAGGTGTATACATTACACTTACCTCCTTACCTGCAGGTGTCAAAGATCTTAAACGTGTTCGCTTCAGGTGCGTTAACTGTGGCTTTAGGGCATTACATTTGATGGGATTTTATCCTCTCTGCATTATTCTGGTTGAAGTAAATGTTCTCCTCGTATGTATTATTTCTGCTGTCGATTGCTTGTCGATTTGTGTTGAGCACATTTTAAGGATTATGGTTAGGCTATGGCTCTGTTGAAGTGATCTATCTCTCTTTAAGAATATTCTGGCTAGAAATGGCTCCTATCCTTGGACTGGTTCCTTATTTTTCAAAATATTAGTTTTAGTTTGAGACAAAGATCTTATTTTAGTTTTCTTACAAGATCCTTCATGTATTCAGTTCTTTTGCATTAAGCTGTTAACTATATGCTTCTATGTTGGTTATCTGTGGATCTCCCATTTCTGCTACTCGATATTATCAAAACTTCGTTGTGAAATTTAGATATCATAAATGCAGCTGCATGGTCAATAAGGATTCTTATAGCCAATCTCAACTTGCTTAGGGACTTAGGTGGTTGTTGTACAATGAATTCATCTCTGGTAGAGATTTTTGGCTGCCCATGTGGCATGTAGGGATAAGACTGAGATGTTAAGAGACATTATAGTTCTAGATGATCTCTAATTTTCCTTGAAAGACAAACATTTAGCATCGGAGCAATAATAGTCAAGTAGAATGCATACAGATTCACATAGCCGAACCACCTAGTTTAGGATTGAGAATACATTTCTACAATCCTGCAAAAAAAAAGGTTATCTTTGTGTGCTTTGAAACAATCAGTGTGTGATTGCTGTAACATTGTGTGTTTGAATGCTTTTCCCTTGGAAAGCAAAAGACTGATGTGTTCTAAAATGCAGTCGAAAACGCTTTAGCGAGAAACAAGCTGAACAATGGTGGGCAGAGAACCGTGCAAGAGTTTATGAGCAGTATAACGTGCGGATGGGAGACAAGTCAAGTATTGGCACTGTAAGCGAAGACTTACAGCATTGAAACATGCTAATAAAGTTATGAGTGGAAATTTTCTTTTCTTTGACCTCTTCTTTTTCTTCTTCCCTGCCGGAAAATCTCTGCTTTAGGGGAAGAAGATCATAATTCTTCGCTTAGTTTGGCTTCTCAAATTTGTGAGGTGGTAGCAAGGGTTGCCATAAAAAGATGTAGGAGTAGAGATTTGCTTTGTAAGTTTTCATTAGATTTTTCTTTTTCTTCTAATGGCTAATGATGTTTGTGGGGAATTGAAAGTGAGAGATGTAAAGTTTTAGTAGGCTTGCTCTTGTTGGGAGTATAGCTTCCTTGTAAATTTCTAAAGTAAATGCATCTTCAGATTTCAAATCCTTTACCCTTTCTGCTGCAAGTGTACAATTACTCGGGGCTCGTTTGGCCATATGAGATGAAATCGTGATAGGTGTTTGATTTTATCAACAAAAACAATGAAAGGGAAAACTAGGGAAAATTTTAGTAGCTCGATTGGTTACTTACTTGTTGATTTTGATGGTTGAGTCGACCTAAAATTGACAGGACAATTTATGTTGAGTTCATTATGCATTAATTTAGAACTGAGAAATTCTGAATAACTAGTTTAATTTAAATTCTAAAGCAAAAGTTAAATTGTGGGAAGTTGAAGTTTCTCTCCGAGTATACATTGATCATCATTAAAAACAGTTTCACTACAAAAACAAGAACAAAAGAAAGGGAAAGAAAATTCGTTTTAGCCAACCTCATCTCGTGTAAAGATGGATATAGGATTTTGAAGTTTATGAGTTCTAAAAAAGATTTTTGAAGTTTGAGTTTGTACTACAATCTTACCTGAATTGATTGCCACTTATTTGTACATGTTCTTTAATTAAAAAAATAAATAGAAATTTGGAATTGCCCTAAAACTATTGGGTTCAAGTGAAATGATAAAAACATGGTATAGATAATAAGCATAGGGCTTATGTATAAAAGAGTAAAATGAGAACAAAAAGATATTGTTTAACTAAGTGGATATTATTTTGGAGTCTTGTGTGAATTTAAAATTGCACCTTATGATCTAACTCCTTTTTTTTTCAATTACAAAGGGTAAAAATGACAATAAAACTTGATTAATTAACGACTCATCGAGCATTGCAAGTGAAACTAAGAAAGAAATTAAGATAGAAGGATTTCATTCAGTGATCCCGTAGTTACTCCTCTCAATGATGAGAATAAATATTTCATTCCGCCACAGTTCATTTGGGATGAACTCCTTTTAAATATTAACTCAAAGTCTCCTTTCTTTACTAGTTGGTTTGAGTCCTTATTTAACCTATGCCCAATTTAGGCAAACATAATATATAATATGCCCCCTCCTCCTAAGTGTGTAATAATATTTTTCAAATTTATAGCAATTAAGAATACATTATTCTTTAAATTGAGATGCTAACAATGAATTAAAACTTTTGATGGAAGTTTGAAGTCGACCCAAAAATATTTAAAATTTTGTGACTATCAAACTAGATATCATATATAAATGTGGAAAATTTAAAATTAATCATATCAAACTTCAGCCAAAAATGATGACTATAAAATCATTTTCAATGTACCTTGACCCAAGGTTCAATAAAGTGTTCAAATGAGTCAAGGAGTTACCATTTGAAAGTGCTAAAAAGCTCAAAAGCCTAGAAAAAAGTGCTTATTTTTTCTAGGCAGAATAGTCTGGTGGACTCTCGTACTTGCATCGGATTGTATTATGAACTCTTTTACTTAGCTTTTTGTCATCTGGACTTCTGAACTTAACCAAAATAAAATTTTTAAATCTTTCTGACGATGTGTGTATCTCACTCTCCCTTACATAGATGACATGTTATATCCATGTCATATATATTAATGTCAAGTCATAATTTTCTTCATAATAATTTTTTAATTATTAGTAAAAATACTAAATAAAAGACAAATTTTAAAAATCTATTTTATCAAATAAAATAAAATTATTATTTTTGTACACCTTTCCTCCACCTTCCCTAACCCACCATCACTGTCAAAACTCCACCATCTTCATATCCCTATTTTTTTTCTTCTTCGATTTTTTCACAATCCAGCAATCTGATGAAGTCATGAAACTACTTCACTCCCGCTAGTGTCATTTTAATCTATTATTAACATTTCTAATCCTCCCTATTTTTACTATTTCACCACCAAGCAGATGTCGTAAAACCCATTAAAATTCAATTGTAAAACCCAATATAGCATTTTCGATTTTCCGGCATGGATAGCAATACAAACTGGTCGGAACAAGGTAGAGGATCTCGTTGATGCCGGAGAAATGATGGAGCCATTGTGTTGTCTTCATTTTGACGGCAGCGTCCATTTTTGCAGGCGTCATCGTCATTTTTACCGGCGAGATTAAAGTAACAACAACCTAAGTCATCTAACAACCACAAAAACAACAACCAAGCCACCTAACAACCAGATCTAACCAAATTTTTCATAATCCAATGCTAACTACTATTTCACACCCCAAATTGCTTACAAATACAAGAATAATTGACACCAAAAGAGGTCAAGTTATTCATTAGAGATATCAACTACTCCACTAATTTTTTTATTTTTCTTTGCTTATTATGTTCAAAAAATTTTGCCCAATTTCGTTTTTTATTTAGGGTAACAAAAAAAAGAAAAACAAGAAAGAAGTTGAAAGAAAAATGAAGATAAATAACGATAGGGTGTGGATAAGAAAGAAAAATAGGTTGGGGTTGGGATGACTGGAAAAAAGGTAGCGTGGGGAAGAAGATGGAGGTAGTGTGGGGAAGAAGATGGAGTTTTTTTCCTTTTTAAATTTATTTTTTAAAAAAAATTAATTTTAGTAACTTAAAAGTAAAAGTTGAAATTTCAATCATGTTCACTTGCCTTTGCAGGCGTGTGATTACACTCTCTTGCCAATTTCATCTATATTAATGTCACATAAAAATAATCAATTATCAGAGGGGTTTAATATATTATTTTGTGTTGAGTATAAGGAACCAGATGACAAAAAGCTAAATAGAAGAGTCCATAATACAATCTGATACAAGTACGAGGATCCACCAGACTATTCTGCCTTTTTTCTATATCAAAAAATAAAGTGTTTAACTATGCTTTCCATAGAAATTTACTATGAAGTAGCAGAGCAGAAATTGTTGTACATAAGCAAGAAAAAAGTTGTTTTTTTTATAATAAACACTTTTAAAAGATTGAACAAGCACTAATTGCTGCTCAAAAGTGTTTATTAAATTGATCGATCAACCACAAAATAAAGCTGAAAGGCAAGAAAAAGGGTCAAATGTTTGAATCAGCAATAAGTATCACTAAACTCAAATATATTGGAATTGCAGAAGCATGTTATTCCGATAACAACAATTCATTTTCACACAGTTAGCAAATATATGTTCAGTAAGATTTAGTGTATCAAGCTCCCAGCACCCAAGAAGAGTCCAAAAATGGTTGCACTTCCCAAAGTTGTTTGTCCAATGTATCTGATTTTTAGAAGTCCAGGCACCTGCAAATTTCCATCAAACTTCATGCAGCAATACTTCAATGAGATTTGCTAAGTCCATATTTGTTTATTGGAATCCCTTGACATTGCATTGGGTAGGTAACAGGTTTCTACATCCACCAACGCAGCAACAACAACTTACATTGATGAAAGACATATTTGAACTCACGTCTCCAATGTTTGCACCCACTGTAATAAGTCTATATTATGCAATCGTGGTATGAGACTGCTTGATCTTACGTCTACTCCCCACTCCCCTTCCCCAAAAGAAAGGGAAAGTGAACCAAAAGCAAAAAAAAAAAGCATTTTTCAAGTATCACTGCATTGAGAGATACTTCTTTAGACCATAATGGACCATAAAAAGAAAAGGAAAAGGTCATCGTATAAATAGGATTGTCAGTGCCCTGAATGTCCATCACAGACCTCTCCATCATTTACCAGAATTACTTCTGATCTTTCAGTGATGTGTTAAAAAGGCCTAACTTTCCAGAAAGAAACTAACATCACTGGAAATTATGAATAGACCCCAATTAAACAAAAATTGAAGTTTGTAAGCTTGTCAACATTTCAGCCTCTAAATTGTAAAATCTAGATGAGCTAGCTCTGGCATCATTCAGTTATCTGCTACCACCTATTATTGGTTGTTTACAGGTTGACATCAGATAAGAACGAGGCTTATATTCAAAGATAAATTTAAATTTATTATTCAAACTGACTAACGTGTTGGTAAATAGAGATGAGCTTTGGATAAATAAGGGTAAGACAACTAGAACTTTGCACAAAACTTGACAGTTTTGTTGGAAAATTAAATGGAAGAGACCAGCTTGTCTTCCAACAAATGTTAAAGACTAGCACACGTGCAATGACATCATAGCCCGTCAACATCTTGCACTGTATTGAAAGTATGAAAGCAAGCTACAACTCTTCGATAACTTTTTAATATGTCTCTGAGTTAACAGGCGTCCTATCAAAAAATTATAACATAGGTTACGTAATAAACACAACACCTGCTGTTAAATAGCGTCTATTGGAAGCTAACTTTTTGACTAAGACAGGAATTACTGTTAACCGTTAGATCGCTAATTTTATAGGCAAACTGCCCATAAATGGACGCAAAAAAAATGGTGGAGTGCAGGTCATTATGAAGCTCATTTTGGGTATGGAACTCTAATATCTAGGGGTAAGCAGTAAACCAAAAAAAACATTTAAGATTCAAGATCTGCTGGAAACTGTTCAGAGAGCCTAGACATTCACCTTATTTACAGGTTGCAATATGCAGCTAAACAATATCATGCATTGAGATCAGTTAACAAAGGTAAAAATAGCTAACCACTGCCCGCAAGATGCATATAGCTGTCTCTATGTTGCTATAAATTCAATAATGAAAGAACAACGGCAACAATATCAGAAAACTAGAGATAGAGAGAAAAAAACTTTACCTTGAACCTAACAGCATCATAAGTCCCATATACAACACCTATAAATAAACACATGCATCAGATGCATTGACAATTTATTAAATACATAAAGAACATTCAATCTAGAAATTAATGTCAGATCTTATTATTTTTCAGATTTAATGCCTTTGACACATGCATCAGTGTCAAAGGCTATTACTATTATTTCTAACTTTAGGCAAATGTGCTGAGAGTGAAGACATGACAAAGTAGTTAACAAAGAATCCATCACTGATGGCATCACAAAGTCGAGATGGTTATTCAAACATGACCCAAAAGGTAAGAACAAATTCCAAGTTTTAAAGCCTCAAACTTCCCTGTAACAGGATAAACAATTAGACAAAATTAAGAGATTAGTTAATTGTAGAAAAACAAATCAGTAGAGTCACTTCTAAGCAACTGTGTATTGTCAACACTGTTAAGAAAGATGGGGGCATTGGGCTACTTAGGAGCTTGGAATTTTGATACTACTAAAAGCAAACAACAACATATCCAGTGTAATACTACAGGTGGGGTCTGAAGATGGTAGAGTGTAAGCAAACCTTACCCTTGTCTTAGTTGGTAGAGACGCTGTTTCCGACAGACCAAAGAGGATTGAAGAAGTCATGACAAAATACTATAGAGAGTATGTCAAGCATTTTGAAAAAAAGCATAGTATGTATGCAAACCTTACCTCTATATTGAAAGATAGAGAGGTTGTTACCAGTAAACCCTCAACTTGGATACTTACTCAAAAACAAAGCATGGAAATAAATAAATTACTTAAACATCTATCAAATCTGACCTTTTCCATCAGTAATTAAGGCTTAAAAATATTCTAATAGACTTGTGACATAACCATCGCAGAGTCCATATAATATACTTATTGTGTGTCTACCACAACATTCACCCAGATAATCAAGAACTAAATCTTGTTTTTCAACTATTTCATACTAGAGTCCAAAAAAATCGAACTTCATTCTTAAAAATGCCTCAACCATGGCATCGTCCCCTCGGAAAAAACCCAGCTAATCAAGAATTATAGCTAGTTTTCCAACTATATCATGCCTGAGTCCAACAACTCCAACTCCACTCTCAAAATGCCTCAACCATAGCATCAGCCCAGTTAACCAACCCCCACCCTCACCCCCCACCCACCCCACACACACACCTAATCAAGAATCAAAGCTTGTTTTTCCAGCAATACCATGCTTGAGTCAAAAAATCATACTTTAATTCTTAAAATGCCTCAATCACAACATGGTCAAACCCCCCAGTTAATCAAAAATCAGAGCTCATCTTTCCACCCTTTTTCAGCTCCAGCCAAAAGGTTCTCTACTACAAACAACACTTACTAAACTCACCAAATTACTGATAAAGAAATGATCTTTTCACTTGAAAGAACCTAACAACTTATAAAGTTCTCATTCATTATTTGCCTAACAAATTGTAGACACAACCCATCAAACAAAACTCCTAATAAGCACAAATTTTTAGGAATATCAACAATTAAACTTCAAAAAAAGAAAAAAGAAAAAAGGGTTTCAAGGTTACCAACAGCGCCACCAACTGCACCACCTATAGCAACACAAATGAGGGCATTTTGCAGAGCCGCTAGACAGTTACTCTCGCTAGACAACTATCTCTTGCCATATTTTTCTCTCTATTCTCAAATGAGGGCATTTTGCAGAGCCGCAACAAATATATGTAAAACCTTGTTACTCGGAAGACAATTCTCAATTTGTCTATATTTAGTAATACTTGAAAAAAAAAATTTATGAAGTGTTTTTTTTTAATTTTTTTTTGTGAAATTATATAAGTAAATTGGAGTGAATAGAAAAAAAAAGTAAGAATAATCTTTTGTTGTTGTTTTTTTAAAAAAAAAAAATTGAAATTTAAGTTTGAGTTTTAATTTTTTATGGTTTAACGTGTTAGATCGAAATTTAACTTCGAGAAAAAAATGAAATATTTTCGTGATCAATTCTTTTTTATGGAGAATTTATGTAAATTGGAGTGAAAGAAAGTAAGAATAATCTTTTGTTATTTTTTTAAAAATTTGAACATTAAGTTGAGTTTTAATTTTTTTGATGGTTTAACGTGTTAATCAAATTTTAATTTTGAGAAAAAAAGTGAAATATTTTCATGATCAATTCTTTTTTTTTGGAAAATTTATCTTTACTTACACCGGATGTTTCCAGCAATTCAATATATGCATGTCGTGTGTTTAAATTTATAATTTTTTTACTTTATCTTAATTAATTAACATGTGTTTTACTTCATTAAATTACACACATTAATTGGGATTTTGGGAGTAAAGACTCGGTGAGGGTATGTTATTTTCAAGTTTTATCTAAAAATATCATTTAGGTTCACAACCGGTTAATTTTGTTTTTTAAATATAAATTCATTGGTGAAGTTATTTTTATTTTGTATCGCTGTAAAAGATCTTTTTAGATATACAATATTTTATTGAATTTCTAATTTTCTTCATTTCTTTCTATGACAATGTATGAAAAAAAAACTGTTAGCGTATCTAAGAAAATAATTAAGAATAAAATCAAATATACAATACATTTGTGAATAAAAATATTCGATTTATGGGGAAATATTAATATGCTTCTAGTGTTGAATTTGGTTATTCAAACACTAAAATAACTGCAAAATATATTTTATAATATCTAAGTTATAGTTAATTTTTCTTTCAAAAGTTCAAAAAAAAAAATTGTTAAATTTGGTGAGCTTTCATATAATTTTTTTTTTTTATAGAAACTATGTGATGGAAAAAATGTGCGATGCAGTAACGTGCAACACACGTTTATAGAAATTAATAATATTAAAAGATCTTATCAAAATATATAGAAACGAAAGTAAAAGAAAACTAAAAAGCAACAGAATCGAACATATTTGCTTGATTCTAAGGTCTTTATTGAACCTATTTTTGTTATGTTTTACTTTTTAACTTGCATACAATATAAATTGAAATCAAATTCAAGATGAATTAAACACTATAACAATCACATATGTACCTTACGATAAAAGTCTGTGTGTAAAGCTAGTCAATTTATTTTAATAGTTATTTAAACACAACTCAAAGATTATGTGAGAAAATTTTGAGTAATCTTATGATATATGCATTCAAATGAGTATACGATGTTTTGAAAAAAAAAATTATGCTTATAGCACGAGAGAAACCAAACATGTTATAAGTGTTGACAAATGTATTGCAAACACATATCAGGGCTAACATAATTTTAATCGAGAATGCAAATTTTTTGATAAAATAAGTTTACGTAGGCATCACATAGAATAAAGACATGTGAAGATAAGGGGAACCAACAATTCGATTAGATAGTACTTAAAGTTGAATGACAAAGATAAGTTTTTGTTGATAAATAAACTTATTTTCAATATATAAAGATAGATTCAATTTTTTTCCCGAAAAATCTAATTTTTGAGAAATTTGGCCAAACATAATTTTAATCAGAATGCAAATTTTTTGATAAAATAAGTTTATGTAGGCATCACATAGAATAAAGACGTGAAGATAAGGGGAACCAACAATTCGATTAGATAGTTCTTAAAGTTGAATGGCAAAGGTAAGTTTTTGTTGATTCATAAACTTATTTTCAATATATAAAGATAGATTCAATTTTTTTCCTGAAAAATCTAGTTTTTGAGAAATTTGGTCAAGCATATAGTTGGTGTAAAATCGAGATGCACACACAGCTCACCCTTTTAGGAAGTGTGAGAAGCTGGATGTGATAAGCACAAAAAGAGGTAGATGTATCCCAAAAAACATTTGGGTGAGATGTCTGATTAAAAATGACATATGTTAAAATTACTGAAAACATGACTTTAGATAGGAGAGTGTGGAGGTCACGTACTACAGTAGAATGCTAGAAATGTTAGGAGGCAATGAAGTGTTGCCTTGCTTTCAAATGTTCAAGTCTGTTGGTGATTATCATTGTACTAATTAACCATAATCTTGTAATTCTAGTTTTTAATATCTAGCATCATATGCTTATTGTATTATATATCATCATTTGTTTTTGTGTTTCAACTATTGCATTATTTTTTTTATTTTATTCATATTTTCTCTTATAACTCCGCACAACTTTTTTTCTTCTTTTTATATATGAAATTGTTGCATTTGAGCTAACAAACACTTACCTCCCTCAAAATAATGATACATACTCTACTCTCTATGAATTTCAGTGAATATATTATTATTATCAACGATAATAATACATATTCTATTCTCTCTAAACTTTATTTGAATAATTTCAATGAATATATTATTGTTCCTTTGATGTTAAAAGTATTAACAATTTACATACACAACACACATAAATAACAGAAATCACATCCTTTTAACGCGAAATTACAATCTATCTTTTAAAAGTTTATAATTACAGAAATCCCTCAAACAAATAAAATAATATAAACACTAACACATTAAAAAGAGGATCAAATACATTAATGACCAAAAAATCAAAGCGCTTACACATTAAAAAAAGGATTGGATACATGCGCCCATACATTAAAAAAAGAGTCAGATACATTAATGACATTTTTGACTTAAAGAGAAAAATGAAGGATTTGTAAAACTTATACAGGATAATGATAATAAGGAAACTAAATATATATATAGATATATGAGTCAGTTTTTTCAATAACAGGGTTTAAAATCTGTAGAAATAAATAGCCGAAGGGAGTTCAACATCTACTATATATATATATAAACTTATTTTAACTATGTATATATAAATAATTTTCCGAACTCCCTTCATACAAGGTAGATATATATATATATATATATATATTAGGTGTATATATAATAAGTTATTTGTGAAATCGTTTTCTCCCACCCACCCACCCCAGTGACTCACGTGCTGCGCGAGAGAGAGGGCTGCCAAATGCCAATACATTCAAACTTCTTTGCATTTTCTAGAGAGAGAAACACAGTTCAACCAATTTTCTCTCTCTAAATATACATATATATATCTACGTAATCCACATATAGAGAGAGAAACAGAGTCCCCTTTTTCTCTCTTCTCACTATAATAAAAGCTGGGGTTTTGTCCTAGAGAAGATCGCTTCTGGCGGACAATTAACCTAAAACCCTAGAATTTGGGGGAAAATGGGGGACTATGTAGGAAGAACAGTCAGCAAAGAGGTTCAAGGGGTTGGAACATTGAATGGTACTGTCAAATCATACAATTCTGAAACTGGTTTTTTTGAGATCGTTTATGATTCCGGTGATTCCGAGGTTCTTGATTTGTCCCAACTCAATTGTTTGTTGAATGGATCACACCCACATGAGCAGCAGCAGCAGGAGCCTGTTCCTTCTTCTACTGTTGGTCGAAAACCCAAAAAAAGGCAACGTCTTGCTAAACAGCAGGTTCAGGAGAAAAGTCATTCAGGTAATGATGATGTTGCTGATGAAATGAATTATGAAAATTCTAGTGAGTTAAACTTAAATTTGAGAAAAGGGGGTGGTAATTTAAGTAATGGGTTGAATTTGGATTTGAATTATGATGTGACAGTTAATTTGAATGAGGATGATGTTGATGGGGTAGTTGATTTGAATAGGAGTCAAGGGTTGATATTGGATTTGAATATTCAGGAGAATATGGGTGTAAATGAAGTTAAGTTGGAAAATTTGGAGGGAAGCTTGAATAGAAGCAATGTGATTGATTTGAATGTGGATGCAAATGGGGATGTAGGTCATGTCTTGGAGAATGTTGGGATAAAGAACTGTTTTGACTTGAATTTAGGGCTAGACGACGTAAGTAAGAACATAAATGTTGGTGGTGGTGATGAGATGTCAAAGGAAATGACTTGCTGTTCCGGAGAAGGAGGAACCCAGGAGAAAGAGGGTAGTAGAGATACTGAGAGAATTGATGGCGGAGATGAAGAGAAGGTCCCAATGAATTTGGAGACATGTTTGACTGAGAATGAGTCAGCAAATGGCACTCTACGGGAAGTTGAGGTTCAGTTGACAACACCTGATAAGGGTACTGATGGGTTGGAAGTGCAAAATGGTGTTTTGGAGAGCTTGCCGAAGGGGAAAAGGGGTAGGAAGAAGAGGAAGCTCTTGGATGCTGGCAAAGGTGTTACAGAGACAGTGTTGAGAAGAAGTGCTCGCAGAGCGAAAATAGAATCCTCTTCTGCTGAAGATCGTGTTTCTTGTGCAGTAGTGTCTGATGCAGCGAGTGACCCACTGTTGTCTCCTGCAGTTAGTGTGGTATCAGAGGAGAAAATTATTGTATCAGGTCGTGAAGAGTTTGAAAAATCTGATATTATTCCTCCAAAGATGGATTTGCCTCCTTCTTCCAGTAGTTTAGATTTGGATGCTCTTCCTGTGCTTGATGTCTTCTCTGTCTATTCATTTTTGAGATCGTTTAGTACTTTATTATTCTTGAGCCCCTTTGAGTTGGAAGACTTTGTAGCATGCATAAAGGCAAATGCTCCTACTTTGTTGTTTGACTCTATTCATTTCTCTCTATTGCAAATACTGAGGAAGCATTTGAAATCTCTTTCAGATGAAAGTTCTGAATCTGCATCTGGTTGTCTCAGGTAAAGTTTTTAACTCTCATAAAGTTGTGTATACATTGGTTTTTGCTTGATTTCTTTGATACTCAAATTTATCTGTACGTTTACAAATTGTGGAAATAGGTCTCTTAACTGGGATTTGCTGGACCTGATCACATGGCCTATCTTTATGGTTGAATATCTACTACTACATGGATCTGAACTGAAACCGAGTTTAGATCTCCGTCATTTTAAACTATTCGAGAGGGATTACTATAAGCAACCGGCTTCTTTGAAGATTGAAATGCTTAGGTGTCTTTGTGATGACGTGATTGAAGTAGAGGCCATACAATCAGAGCTTAACAGAAGAATTGTAGCAGCAGAGAACATGGATTTTGATCGGAATTCGAAGTCTGACAGTTCCAAGAAGAGGAGGGCTTCCATGTATGTTGCTGTAGGTTCATGCTTTAGTGAAGCAGTCGATGAGTCAACAGATTGGAATAGTGACGAATGCTGCCTCTGCAAAATGGATGGTAGCTTAATATGCTGTGATGGCTGCCCTTCTGCATACCATTCTAAGTGTGTTGGTGTTGCTAGTAGTCACTTGCCTGAGGGTGATTGGTATTGCCCTGAATGTCTGATTGACAAAAAGAGTCCGTGGTTGAATTTGGCAAAATCAATTCGAGGGGCAGAGGTATTGGCAACTGATCTGTACGGCCGGCTATACTATAGTTGCTGTGATTACCTATTGGTGTAAGTTCCATCACCCTTGTCTTAAAGTTAGTAAGTGATTATACCTTCTGAGTATCATTCTGTTTGTGTTTCAACATTCATCTTTCGACACAACTCTTTGTAATGTTTGGGACAGTTTTATCAGATATTAGGTATCAGTATATGCCTATATGGTCTAGGTTGCTATTGACATTAACATTTTCACTTGATGTTGTGATGTGTAAAATGCAAAATTCATTATCAAAGTAGAATTGGAATGCTTGGGGTCGAATGGTCAAATAGTTGCAAGGCATTCCATATAGCCAACTCCATCATTCTTTAGGACTAAATTGTGGTAGATTGCCATCAATGTTGTGATTTTGGTATCCATCTGATATCATGACAAGTTTATTATCATATTCATCTTCCTCTCAAGCTGCAGTGTTTTATTCTTCGTATTATTAAAGATAACCATTTTGTTTTAAATAAGCTGAAACATGAGTAACAATGACCGATAAATCTTTTCCTTCCATTTAGTGAGAGGAACTCCCACTTTTCCCCAACCTTAACTCGATCAAATCTCTGACCTTCTAGATTAGTCTGAATACACCAAGCAACTTAGTGTATGACAGAGAACTCTATGATAGACATGTCTTAGTTTATCAATGACTGCGAAGAATCACAAGGGAGTTAGATGCATGAACAATTTGTGCTTAAAGGAGAATGAAGTTATATAAGCTGGCTAATGGAGTTTTTATATGATCAAGAGAGAAAGGTAAAAGATGAAATCAACTTCTGGAGATGTGCTTTATTGGTCTCTTTGACTGCCAAGTTGTGGATGGCTAGATGGCAGAAGGTTATTGCTGTCCTCAAGGTCTCTAGGTTAGTAGTATCATTGCTGATGTTTCTTTGTTGACCTCTTTAATTGCCATGTTGCTTCCATCAGAAGAATCATGGAGTGAGAATGCTAGGTTAGCCTCGAGGTCTCTAGGTTAGCAGGTCCATTGATCATATTTAAATTTCTTTCCAAACTAGAAGCTATATCAGGAGATATCTGAATGATTAGGAGATTGGGAGAATAACAGAATTCTATAACTCTCACTTGCAAGATTCGACAATCTGACTGAAGAAGTGGACAGACTATGGAACAGAAACAGTAAGGGAATTTTTTCTATCAAATCTGCATACAGGGAGCTAAATGTAGGAGTGGTGAAGGAAAGAGATTGGCCTTGGAAGATGATATGGAAAGCAAAAATTCCTATAAAGTTAACTGTTTCATCTGGCTTTTGGCCAAAGAAGCAGTGTTAACTCATGATGATCTGAACAAAAGGGGTCGCCAACTATCCTCTGGGTGTTTTTTATGTAGGAAACAAGCTGAGACAATCAACCATCTTTTTTTGCATTGCAAATGGACACATCAGCTTTGGAGGATGTTCATCAGTCTGAAAGTAATTAGTTGGGTGAAACCTGGAAGCATTGCAGATGTTCTAAGATGCTGGAATATGGATGGTAATGTGAGCAAAAAGGGAGAAAGATGGAAGATTGTCCATCATGCATTTGGTGGTCAATTTGGATTGAGAGGAACAAGAGGTGCTTTGAGGGGACTCAAAACAACATTCAGAATCTTAAAATGAATTGTTTAGGCCTTTTTTATTTTGGGTGTGAGCAAAAGCTATTGCTCAAACCGAAGATGTTTGTGATGTTTTAAACCTTTTGTGTGGCACAAAATTGAACTACAATTTGTGAGTTGCAGTGTTATCAAAGGAGAAAAGCGCAAAAAAGCTCTAAGGTCCATGAGGGCTTTAAGCGTAAAGCGCAAATAAAGCGTGAGCTGTAATGAAAAAAGGCGCAAAGGGAGAAAAAAATACAAATATATCTGTTTAGTCCAAGACTAATAATTATAAACATGAATAACAAATATATGACCAAAGAAATTGAAAAAAAAATTATGATAAAGTGAAATATCAATTATTTAGTGTCACTTCTTCATACGAGGCTGATTGGCAAGGAAACGTTTGCCTTAGAACCTTGATGTTGACACTGAAGCGCACATAAAGCGAGGCGAAGTGCTCAACATGTTTTGAGCCTCGCTTCAGGGCTTAAGCGTCTTTGATAACACTGGTAAGTTGTAATAATTTTGAAGGGGAACTACACTTTGGTTGTAGTATACCTGTGTGGATATATAGAAGTAAAGTTACCATTGTCAAGAAAAAGAAGAAAAAGTTGAATGAGTATTGACAGAAGGGCTAGATGGTTGAGTCCTTGCGTTGTTGGACCACACTTGTAGGCTGTAGCACTGGTTGCATAGGCATACAAAGAAGAAACAGGTTGTCATTGGTGAGCTTGGTTAGGTTCTCAATTCATTGTCAACCTCATCCAGGCAATTGAAGTGGTGCGTTGTGATCTTTTTGATAGGTGCAGTTCAGATGAGTCTAACTGGTATGTCAAAAGCGAGACTCATAGTTAAGGATTTGGATCTTTTTTGTTATCGGCATTGGTTGCACTCCAATGCAAAGAAAAGATGGTATTGTAGGTGAGCTTTATTGGGCTTGCCTTTTATCTTTAGTGTGTCAAACTCTGACGTCTTTGTGGATAGTGAGTTTAAGTGGTATTTCACAAGTGAAGCTCATAGTTATGGATGAGACATAGATTTCAGCCTTGTTGTCGGCAATGACAATTTTGTTATGGAGTGCAAGTAT